ACCTTTGTAATAGAGATTGATAGGATTGAATCAACTGGTATAAATACAGATGTAACAAGACAGCAACACACAGAACTTAGGAGGCGCAGAACCTACACAGAACGTTCTCTAGAGACAGAAGAACTTCGCTGGAGAGAACATGGCAAAAGATCCTGGACAGAAACTGGCCTCAGAACCTAGAGACAGAACCTAGCGAGAGAACATGGCAAAAGATCCTGGACTGAACCTGACTACAGAAATTGGCAAGAGAACCTGACTAGAACCTGGTGACTGAACCTGGCTGGAGAACCTGGACAGAACCTGGCTGGAGAACCTAGCGAGGGAACATGGCTACAGAACCTGGCTGGAGAACCTGGGGAACCTAGCAAGAGAACATGGACACAGAACCTAGCTGGAGATACTAAGCAGAACCTCTCTGGAGATCCAGACCAGAACTTGGCTGGAGATCCTGGCTGGAGATCCTGGCTAGGCTGCTGATCAACTGAACACTGTCTCCGTGTCCTTCCTTCTTCGCCGACTCCATCCACACCTTTGGGGACCCCTGGACCTGCTGGGGCTGGACCCCGGCAAGTAATGATAATACATACAATAATAGGTACTGTCTATTATCTCATCTATAGTGACTGTTGTGCTAAGCATTATATCATTTATTCTTCACAATAAACCAAAAACATTATTAGTGTGTTCCTTTAGGTGCAAATGAAATTGAAGATAAGGAAGGGAGGGCGGAAGAGAGAGAAAAAGAGGAAGGAAGGAAGGAAGGAAGGAAGGAAGGAAGGAAGGAAGGAAGGAAGGAAGGAAGGAAGGAAGGAAAAGGGGGAAGAGGGGAAAATAAAGAAGAGGGGGAAAAAAGCGGGAAACAAAGGCTTAGATAAGTAGCTTGCCCAAGTGATCCTACCCATGTGTGCAAAGCATGGATATGAATGCAGACAGTCTGACTCCAAGGCCTGCGCTCTTAACCCAGCACCTGGATTGGGGTACAGAGATAAATAAGTCATGCACTCTGTCTTGGAATTGCTCATAGTTTAGTAAGAGAGATAGACTCATAAACAATTCCAGTCGAGTGACAGGAGCTATAATTGAGCTATAATAGAGTTAAGAAAACACAGAGGAAAGAGTGACTAAGTGCCTGACTGTGGGTGGGGTGGGAGGGGGGGTCCTCAAAATACAGACATCTTCCTTTGTGTTTATGTAATTCATTGCTCTCTCTGGGCCTGGTTACCCACAACAATCTGCAATACCTTCCAAAGCTTCTTTCCGGTGGATTTCCCCAGTCTGTCTAACAAGTTGTGGTTAGTGAGCCTCATCCTGCATGCAATAAGTAGCTCTGATACAGGGGCCTCATCAAGTATTTAGAGTTATTCCAGAGAAGGAAGAAAAATAGCAGATAGCAATCTATCTTAACTACCCTCAGAAAAGGGTGAGGAATGTGACAACCAGGTGAATTAAAATGAAGTGGCTGTACCATATTATTTTCAAATATGTTTTTATTGATTTCAGAGAGAGGAAGGGAGAGGGAGAGGGAGAGGGAGAGAAAGAAACATCAATGATGAGAATCACTGACTGGCTGCTTCCTGCATGCCCCCAACTGGGGACCGAATCTGCAACCTGGGATGTGCCCTGACTGGGAATCAAACCATGACCTCCTAGTTCATGAGTTGACACTCAACCACTGAGCTACACTAGCCAGGCAACTGTACCATATTAAATTGAATGAGCAAAGGTAGAAGATTCTGGCAGCCCACCTGAAAGAACCCAAGGCCGTCCTGACTTGTGCAGGTGGCTGAAAACACAGTCACTCAGTCAGGAAAACTGTATTCCATGAAGTCTTCATTACCTAGCATAATTTGCTTCAAATGTCCAGTTCTTAACCTAGACCATGCATGGACTTCATAAAATTTCTGAATTCCCTGAAATTGTATGTAAAACTCTACATATCTGTTGTGCATTTTCTAGAGATTCCACAGTTAATGCAAAATTTAAAATAAATAGTATGTGTTCCCAAGTAAGATAAGAGCTATGTAGAAAATACTGAGAGCTGTTATTTCAATAGATTTTAGTACAATATAGAGTCTGGCACAATTCAGACGGTCCAAAAAGTTTAAGTGAATGCTTTGATACCATTGTTATTAATCCAAATGCTTGCAAATGAGCAGTACCACCAGGTATAAAGCACATCTGAGCATAAAGCCTTGACGACTTCGGGGCTTGCCTTTGATTATGTTGTGTATAGCTGACCTTTTATCTTCCTACTAGAGGCTTAGTGCACGAAATTCGTGCACTTGGGGGGGGTGGATTCCTCAGCCCGGCCTGCACCCTCTCACACTCCAGGAGCCCTCAGAGGATGTCCAACTGATGGCTTAGGCCTGCAGGGAGTGTGTGTGTGTGTGTGTGTGTGTGTGTGTGTGTGTGTGTGTGGCAGGCCAGGGATTGGAAAGGACAGTATCACATCATCAAGCTGCATACACTCTCCCACCCATCCCTTCTCCACCCCACCCCTATTCCAATCCTTTGTGATGTTGCCTGATGACATATTAGCCAGAGGTTAAAATGTCCTAACAACCATTGGCCTGGTCCCTTTGGGTTAAGTATCCTTTAGAGATTAAGAAGAGTTTAGGACTAGAAAGCTCACCCCCCCTCAGAGGATGTCCAACTGATGGCTTAGGCCTGCAGGGAGTGTGTGTGTGTGTGTGTGTGTGTGTGTCTGTGTGGCAGGCCAGGGATTGGAAAGGACAGTATCACATCATCAAGCTGCATACACTCTCCCACCCATCCCTTCTCCACCCCACCCCTATTCCAATCCTTTGTGATGTTGCCTGATGACATATTAGCCAGAGGTTAAAATGTCCTAACAACCATTGGCCTGGTCCCTTTGGGTTAAGTATCCTTTAGAGATTAAGAAGAGTTTAGGACTAGAAAGCTCACTTCCCAATGTATAACTCCAAACTTCACCAAAAACTGAACTCTTAGAACTGACCATATTCTCATGGACCTTCTATTGAAAGGAGTAAGAAAAAAGTAAATCTAAGATGAGAATTTGGTCTTGATTATTCTCTGTTGCTACATAACAGTAAATCTGGGAGTAATCCAAGGCAAATATCATTAGCTTTTCAGAAGCACCAAAGGGAAATTTACAGGGAAGGATCACATAACAGGAAAACCCAGATGAAATCTTTAAGATTTGGACAAGTTCATTATCAACCAAAACATTTGGCTAATGTCTTTATGTCAATGCAGCCTTGCTATTGTGACAAGGAGCAAGAAAGCTACAACAGATGCAGATGATCAGAGGTTCACCTACCCTAGTGAAAAAGGGCTCCAGATACATCATTTCTCAGTTCAGCAGTATGCGTAAGCTAGACTCAGAGGGAAGACTGCTATCTACTACACCAACCGCAGCCACTGCGGGTAGGGCTGGAGGGGTGTTGACTGAAGCAGGCTTGTACAATATCTTTTTATGGAATCACAGTCTGAGGGTAAATAGCTGCTGGCAAAAATATAATAAATGGGGCAACCGTTGGCTCTTAATACATAGCCTCCTCCCTCACACATTCAGCCCAACTTAGAGACATGTGGAAACTGTAAGAGTTTTTATATATTACACAAGAACTTTTACAGAAGATTTAATTAACAACCAGACTTGGGCTACATAAAGCAATTCACAGATCAACTGCCAAAGATGAAATTCAATAAACACAACAAGCAATTAAAAAGTCTAGCTCTTGCTACCCTCGGGTTATCAATGACTCAGTAAAGACATTTCATTTCACATCTTTATCTATGTTCTATCAACCAAATTTATATCGGAAGGGAAGGAGAAACACAAGGGATATTGTATTAAACAGAAGGATAAAAAACATCTCTTTTTATCTCTGCCTCCTTCCAATTCATTTACAAGAACTGCCACTTCCTGCAATTTTTATCACTAATTAAAGTATGATGATTCTAAACAGAAAATTTTTAGATCTTTTACCTTAATAATTTTTTTCAAGATATTAAGACATTAGCATACCTTTAGTATATTGCCTTTGAGGCTTTGTTTATTGGGAGTGCCTTCAAGAGAAAAAGGGGACTGTGAAGAGAGTATGGCGCTTGCTTTAGCAAACTAGTTAAAAACTGCTTTTATTTCCTTTTAGGAGGTGACAAAGTTTTGAGATATACTTTACAACTATGATTTTTTTAACTGAAAAACTAGAATGCTACAAAGTTCTTCTAAATACAATAGTCAATGCTTACGATGATAAATAGTTCTACTGATAGCATGAATAATTTTTTAAAACTTCAATCACATTCCTTTAGACTCTAACTGGGACTGTTGGCCATTTTTTAAAATTTATACTTCTTTTTAAGTTTTTGATGTTTTTATTGATTTCAGAGAGAGAGAAACCTCAGTGATGAGAGAGAATCATGGATTGGCTGCCTCCTGCACACCCCTTCCTGGGGATTGAGCCCACAACCGGAGCATGTGCCCTGACCTGGAATCAAACCATAACCTCCTGGTTCATGGTTCATCACTCAACCACTGAGCCACATCAGCTGGGCCCATTCTTTTTTTCAAAAACTATTAGAGGATTAAAAATAGTGGCAAAGTAGATACTGCATAGACATGCTCCCAGGAACAAACTGGAATTACAACTAAAATACATAGAAATAATCAACTGAAAACTTGCAGGAAAGAACTCTGATACCTGAGGACTGAAAGTGGAGACCACATAGAGATTGGTAGGAGGGATGGAAGTGCAAAAGGGCTGGCTGAGTGCCCACAGATAGCAACTGAAGTCCCAGAGAAGAGATCTCAGCTGTGGGGGGTTGTCCCTGAGGACTCTGGGATCTAACCCCCAAGCAGGGTCCCCCAGCAGAGAGAAACAAAACTGAGAAGGGTAACCACACAACATCTGGCTGTGAAAAGCAGTGGGGCACTGTCTGCAGGTAGTGACAGCTGAAAATTCAGGCACCCTCTTAAAAGGCCAAAGCACAAAATTCCCTGTGGAGCCACCCACCTTGTGTTCTGCCAGAGGAAGGGTGAAGTGGACTAGAGCTGTGAGCACAGAAGCCAGGACTGGGGACTCAGGGAATAGAGCTCAGAAGGCAGACACCCCAAGCTTCCTGGGCTGAGACATTCCTTCAGGAAGGGTAGAACATCTTTCCCACATAGATATTTGCCATGCCTGGGGGGAAGACAGTTGACACACCCTATTAGTAAACACCCTGAGGCCACTTAAGAGATTAAAAGTAACAATTAGCCTCCAGGCAGAAGCAACTGCCCCACCCTGTTGGAAAAAAAAAAAAAAAAACCTCTCACCACACTTGAGGATGACTGCCTGGGGGGGAATTCAAGTCAGAATCCTATCAGTCTGTAGGCAGAGGCTGTCTCTGTAGGCTTTGAGTCTTTGCCTGATCTAATTAGTCAGAAACAGCCTTTAATATTATCCTGTACCAGAGATTGAGAGGTATAGAGGATCTACCTAATACATAACCACAAACCCAAACAGAGAGCCAAAAGGAGGAGACAAAGAAACAACCCCAAATGAAAGAACTAGAGAATTCTCCAGAAAAAAAGATAAATGAAGCAGAGATAAGAAATTTATCTGAAACAGTTCAGAATAATGATGGTAAAGATGCTCAAGCTTGCCGAAACCGGTTTGGCTCAGTGGATAGAGCGTCGGTCTGTGGACTGAAAGGTCCCAGGTTCGATTCCGGTCAAGGGCATGTACCTGGGTTGCAGGCACATCCCCAGTAGGAGATGTGCAGGAGGCAGCTGATCGATGTTTCTCTCTCATCGATATTTCTAACTCTCTATCTCTCTCCCTTCCTCTCTGTAAAAAATCAATAAAATATATTAAAAAAAAAAAAAAAAGATGCTCAAGCTATATTACAAAGTCACTGTTCTCAAAACTGCCTGGTACTGGCACAAGAACTGACATATAGACAAATGGAACTGAACAGAGAACCCAGAAATCGACCCAAGCCATTATGCTCAATTAATATTTGACATATGAAAACATGCTCAAAGTCACCAATCATCTAAGACATGCAAATCAAAATAACAATGAGGTACCATAGCACACCTGTCAGAATGGCTGTCATCAACAAATAACGACCAGTGCTGGTAAGGATGCGGAGAAATAGGAACCCCCATGCACTGCTGGTGGGAATGCAGACTGGTGTAGCCACTGTGGAAAACAATATGGAGTTCCTTCAAAAAATTAAAAATGGAACTCCCATTTGATTCCACTTCTAGGAATATATCCCAAGAAAACAGAAATGCCAATCAGAAAGGATATATGCATCCCTATGTTTATAGAAGCACAATTTACAATAGCTAAGATTTGGAAACAGCCTAAGTGCCTATCAGCAGCAGATGAGTGGATGAGAAAACTGTGGTACATCTACACAATGAAATACTACACTGCTGTAAAAAAGAGGTTCTTACCATTTGCAGCAGCATGGATGGACCTGGAGAGCATTGTGCTGAGCAAAAGGATAAGGATAAATATCACATGATCTCACTCCTGTGTGGAATATAATGAACAACATAAACTGATGAGCAAAAATAGAGCCAGAGAAAAAATTATTTTAGAATGTAATAGAAGTAACCCTACTTGCAGATTTTTAATATTTCCTACAACTTTTGTGATATTATACTGTTAGTACAGTTTTGATAATATTTAAAATATTAATGTTTATTGCATGTAATGTTATATTTAAAATTGTTTTTCTTGAAATATTAATGTTTATTGCATGTAAATAGCTAATTATTTTGTATATACAATCTAGTAATATATTTATTTTGTATATTGAAAAAATTAATTAAAAAATAAAGTAAAAAAATAAAAACTATTGTTTCTAGCACAAACTTGGAAAACTAATTTACATATTTATATTTGTCCTTATCTATAAACTTTAGGTCCTACTGTAAGTCCTAATTATTATGTGTAAGGTGGGCGGAGGGGTCAACTGACTGTCCTTAAGGTCTCCCTGACAGTGACCATCAGGCATTGACGTGATAAATTCTTTTGTTTCCTTGTGGGCTTCAGTTTCTATACATGACAAGCAACCTTTCTTATGATGCAATTGGAGTAGAGGCTCTGGAACCCATCTCCCTGAGTGAGAATCTTGACTGTACCACTTCTAAACTGGATCAATGAGGGTGAGTTATCACAGTCTCTTCCAGGTACACCAGGCACTTCTACATCTCAGTTTTCTCATCAGTACATGAGAGCATTTGCCCCACAGAGTTCTTGTGAAGAGTAACTGAGCAATATATGTAAAATACTTAGGACAGTGTTTGGTATATAGAAAGCACTAACTCAAAGTTAGCTTTTGTTATTACAAGAACCATTATAAGCAAAACATTCTTAGAAACAGTAATTTTGCTTGCATATTTGTTCCAAAAGGGATAACAACAAAACCCTTTCAAAAAAATCCCCAATAAAATGTGAATGGGAGTCTAGTAATACTGCATGGAGACCACCCTCCCTGAGGCCGAGTTTCTGTGGTTCAGGTTGTACTAATGTCACCCTTGTTTCAAGTGTGGGCATATGACTCATTTGGGCAGATCAATCAGAGCGTTCATGCTCCCTGCCATCATGGTTACTTCAGCAATGGGCACAAGGCTCAATCAGAGCCAAAGAGCTGTGATTTGAGGACGCTTGCTGAGATCATTGGAAGGTATAAAATTGTTTAAGCTACTGAATTCAAACATATCTGAAGCTAGCTGTGTCCTTGGGAATAATGAATTATTACTTACAATGCAATCATTTGCATTTAATTTTTTGTAATCTGCAATCCAAACTTAGGAGAGGTATCCAGGAAAATATCACAAAACTATATGTGATATAGAAAAAGATTGAGTGGGTGTCAAAGAGAGGAAATAATGTGTAGTAAAGTGCACAATCTCTGAAGCTAACTGCCCAGGTACAAACCCTAACTCTACTGCTCAGCAGTCATGCGACTTTGGACAAGCCATTTACCTCTTTGTGCCTCCATGTCATCCTGTGTAAACTGAGGATAGTAACAGTATCTACCTTAGAGTCAAATCCCATGTCTGAACACCTTCTGTTTACCCTGTGGTTGAAGGAGTGATTGGCTGAACACTGACACCTGTCACACTCACATCCCCTATGGAGAGGACAGCACAAATCCTGCAGGGCCATGTGGAGACTGCACTCCAGAACAGAGTGACCAAGCAGGGGCTGTGGGAGGTAGACTTTGTAGCATCAGCTGGGTGGGGTCATCCCTGACTCCCCTGGGGGGATATGATTTGTTTGAATAATTTCACCAGCTTGTAGGAAGGTAAGATCAATTAAGTTGAGGACCAGGTGAGGGTGTAGCTAGTGTGGCTAATCAGGGAACCAGGCTGGTAGGGAGCCTTTCCAAATGGGGTAGGGGGCACACCTGGCAAGAGCAGAGGAGCTCATGGCTAGATTTTGGGACCCTATGAGGGTGAGAAATGTCATGACAGCATGTGAAAGTTAGGTCTTAGAATAGGTTTCTTCACTTCTCTTGGCCTCAGATCCTCACTGGTAAAATCAGAGGGTGGGAAGTGAGTAATCTCCAGGTTCGGGTCCGTTCTGATTCCCTTTAATTTTCATTATGTGAAGCCAGTCAAACACGGGGTGTGTTAGTAATTTTCTGAGGCACTTGCTGTCCTGATTTGTCCGTGAAGACCAGTCTATTTTTGTTCACTTTAAATATATCTCAGTGAATGCAGGCTAATCTCCTAGGGCCCTTTCCCAATTTTAATGTGAAGTTGACACATTTAATTTCCAGAGATTGGGAAGGAGTATATGTTAACAGCAGTTAGTACAGAAGTCAATTTTGGAGTTAATGCAAAGAGCTTTTAGAGATAGTCCAGGAACGAAATAATATTTATAAGCCTAAAATCAACCATTCTTTTAAATTATGTCAATCTTTCTCTAATAAAATCTTAGCAACAGTCAATAAATGTTTATATTTACTTCCAGGGAGAAAATTCATGATCTTGGACAGTAGGGGACTTGTAATTTTCATTAAATTCTGCAAATTTAGGACTGTAGGAGAGTCAAAAACATCTTGACTGCCTAATGCAAAATCAAAAGGCAAAAATGTTTATCTATGACTTCCAGACCTTAATTTGCAGAATTTAATGAAAATCATAAGTTTGATATCACATGTCTCAGATATTTATAAAATTATCTTCATTTAAGGAAGAGCTTGATTAGTATTATAATTAGTAATCATAATAACAAAAAGTCATATCTAAGTACACGAAAAGTATTATGGTTAGGATAGAGTAACCTGTCCTAGCCGGTTTGGCTCAGTGGATAGAGTGTCGGCCTGCAAACTGAATAGTCCCAGGTTCGATTTCGGTCAAGGCCACATGCCCAGGTTGTGGGCTCGATCCCCAGTGGGGGACTTGCAGGAGATAGCCAATCCATGATTCTCTCTCATCATGGATGTTTCTAGCCCTCTCTCCCTCCTCCTTCCTCTCTGAAATCAATAAAAATATATTATAAAAAAAAAAAGATAGCATAACCTGCTCTCTCCAGTAAGGATTCTCTGCTCAGAGAACATGCATTCTCTGACACAGAAAAGAATGAAAATAAAAATAACAATTTAAGAAAGGGTGTGCTGCTGCCCAAGGGCTATAGGCTAGGGTGCATGGCTCTCTCATGGCCACCTCTCTCATTTAGTGACTTATCTCAGGTGAGACACCATTATTATCAAGATACCAATGTGAAAATCAGATAAAAGTGAAAAATTAGAATTCTGTACCTTAGGCATGTGTACTACAAAAGGCAAGATATAATGTTAAACCAAGAATGTTTAAAATTTATATTTAAATTTGTCTGGCTTAAAGCTCTCAGAGCAGCTATATCTAGCCTGATAAATACTATCTTAAAATAAAATAAAGTTTAACATGACATTCTTTATAATAGCAGAGTTAAACTATAATGATAAGCACTGGTAGCTTGAAGTGTCTATAACTGAGAAGGTCATGGAGAATTCTAACTGTAAAATATAAAAGATAAACTGCCTAAAGGAAGTATATTACACTCATAGTAATTTCTAGGCTTCTCTCTCACTGAGTCTAATAAAACCCGATTCCTCTATGATTTTCAGAAATATCATATGGCAACTGTTTTATATGACTAGACACTGCCATTTTCTTTCTTTGCAAATAAACATATTTTCTACAATTCATCTTATGCACTGTCTCCTGATAAATTCCATGTGTTGGGGAAAGAGAAAGGAAGATAAAGCAAAAAAATAAACATTTTTTTTTACTGTTTGAAATGACATGAAAACACCAAGAAAAATCAAATATGGCTAGCACTGTCCACAATTTTCAATTACAGCTACTGTAACATATGAGTGATTCTTAACCAATAGTGTGTGCTATCAAAAGGTATTTGTGAAACTTAAATGTCCAATGCAGACAAGCCCAATTTGGGAAATCTGACACAGAGATGAAAACATAGTTTTGGACATTCTCAAGATGGCAGCATAGGTTAACACCGGAGATTGCTGCCTCGAACAACCACTTCAAAAAAACAACTAAAAGACGGAACGGACATCATCCAGAACCACAGGAAGGCTGGCTGAGTGGAAATTCTACAACTAGGAGGAAAGAGAATATCATACCCAGACTCAGAGGAGGCGCAGTGCTGAAGTGAAATACTAAGGTGCGGAGTGCACGCAGAGCGGGCTGGAGGCGGAGGGCGCGGTTATTGTTTTCAATCTGGAGGGAGTTTCAGACTCTGAGCTCCAGATCCGGGCGAGTCTCTAGGGACCCAGACTCAAACGGGAGAAACGGGACTGTCTGGCTTCGGTCGGAATTCAAAGGCAGCTTTTCTCCGAGGTTTGCAGCGGTTGCTGGGACTCTGTGAGGCAGAGCTCCTAGGGACAGAACTGAGAGCAGCCATAACTGCTCGCTCCGGCCCGCCCTGTAGATCCCCGGGGACCCGCCCTGCCCAAGCCCTGCTCAGAGCCATTTGCCGATAGCCTCAGGCAAACGCTAGATTAGCACCGCCCTAGAGATCCAGCACAGAAGCTCTCCCACTGCAGACACAGCGGACTCTCATAGCCAGTTAGCCTGGAGGTCAAATCACCCCCGGTATTGCTGACAACAATCAAGGCTTAAGTACAACAAGACTACGCACAAAGAACACTAGGGGGTGCACCAAGAAAGCATACAAAATGCGGAGACAAAGAAACAGGACAAAACTGTCAATGGAGGATATTGAGTTCAGAACCACACTTTTAAGGTCTCTTAAGAACTGTCTAGAAGCCACCGATAAATGTAGTGAGATCCTCAAGAAATCTAATGAGACCCTCGATGTTATGATAAAGAACCAACTAGAAATTAAGCATACACTGACTGAAATAAAGAATACTATACAGACTCCCAACAGCAGACCAGAGGAGTGCAAGAGTCAAGGCAAAGATTTGAAATGCAAAGAAGCAAAAAACACCCAACCAGAAAA